TCCTGTGAGCTTCCGCCCCCTTCCTCACAGCCGAACGAACAACCAAACTCAATCTATACGTAGATTCACATGTGTGCAACCACATACACAATTTGTATGTTCATACATGCAGCTCATATGCATATACATTCAATTGAATGTTATGACTGCCCCTCACCCCTCGGGCTCGTTGACCTGGAAACGGTAGAGGAAGGACTGCCCCCGCGGGATGGGGCACTGGGCGATGTACGCGGTGCCTGCGCGCGCGGCGCGCGAGCGGCCAGGCGTACGAAAGGGTCCCGCACTGCACACTGGGAAGCCCAGCGAGAAGAGCTGCGGCGGCGCCCGCCGCGAGCTGCGGCCTCGGTGGCCAACGCCGCCGCGCCGCGCGGCCTTGCGCCACGGCTGCGGGGCCGCCGCTCTTAAGCAGACCGCCGGCCCGGGCGCACGGACGGGCACGAGCAGGGCCTCGCGGCCCGCGCCGCGGCCGTGCAGTTTGGAGCAGCGTCGGCACGCATTCGACCAGGTGCTTCCGCGGGCGCTGGGGACGCACCGTCATACCAAGGGTTGCCAATCAGGTGGAAGCCGTGCCAGTGGATGGAGATGCTGCCATTGTTAGTAATGTCCACCCAATCCTGTCGAGTGGACGGCGGGCAGTGCGGGAAAGTGGGGGCACACACAGGGGTGAGAGTGTGTGTGTTTCGTGTGAAAGTGTGTTTGGGTGTGCATGTATATGTGTGCACGCGTGTGCACGTGTGCATGTTTGCGACAGAATGTGGGGACCTGGTTCATGTCGGCTGTGCTGCAGCGGGGCTGCCTCACCCAACCCCTGGCGCTGCGGCGCAGCAGCCAGGCGCGAATAGGGGCCGCCATGCAAATGCATGGGCGGCCGCCGGCAGCGCCCCGGCCCCGTTGAGCCGGTGCAAGCCGCCGTCGGCGACTCAGAGGGTGAGGCGCGGGTGCCACTCACGCTTGGGATGTTGTTGGTGACCATGACCTGCGGGGCGTGAGAGACATTGCATGGATGGGTGATGTGTGGCGGGCGTGCATGGGCGGCTCGCATGGGAAGTTCGCCTGGGGCGTTTTGCATGGGGTGGCGTGCATGGGCCCGCATGGGCGTTTCGCATAAGTGGGACGCAACATGCAGGTCCCCATGCAGTGGCGACTGCATGCATGGTGGAGGGGCCGCCTGACGTGCCGCCAGACGCGATCTGGCGCAATGTCATCCCGCCATAATCCGCCCCAGGAGAACGGCGATCTGGCCGCCGCACTTGCGCCCTTTCCCCCCGCCGCACCTCCAGTGTGTCTCCGCTGGCGACCTCCATAGTGGGCTGGAACATGTTGTTGATGAGAAGGGCCTTGCGCGTGCCGCCGCAGTCTGGCGCCACGACGCCAGCAGTCACCCTGAGGGTGTAGCGCCAGACGCCCGCCGGCGCCGCCTCGGGCACGAGGCGCGGCGGGTTGCCGGAGGGCTGGGCAGGTGTTACGGGCTTCGCGGGCGCAGGGGCTGCCTTGGAGGGCGCCGCGGCGGGGGCGGGCGACGCCTTGATCTGCAGTTTGGGTACGGCTGGCATCTTGGGCGTGCCCGGCTTCGGCGCTGCGTCCGCAGCGGCCTGTGCGGTGAGAGCCAGCAGCAAGACCGCGAGCAGCGACATCGTTTTAGACATGGCTCGGGCTCTGTGGCTCCGCTGCAGGCCACTTGCTGGGCGTCCGTCTGCGAGATTGGGCCGCGAACGTCCGGCAAGAATGTCCACCCCGCGTTCAGGAGCTAAGGAAGACGAGGTGGGAGTAGCACCGACTATAAATATTCATTGAGCACGAGGGCCAGCTAATGGCTGGACCGCCCCCACTGGCGGCCCCGGGTGACGTGAGACGTCGTGCTGCGCGGTAGTGACGGCCCGCGCTGCGGTCGCGCCTGCCGCTCCTCAGGCGCCCGCCGCACCTGCGCCCAGTCATGCCATAGTGGACCAGTGCATGCGGGGCCCGCACAGGGAGAGCTTTTGGTTGGGAGCCGAGGAGCGGGAAGTGGCACGCGCGCGACAACATGCGACCGTCGGGTGTGCACACACTCGCGGCGGCCCGCAGCCGCTTGGCGCCTACAGGGGCGATATCTGGCACCAGTTGCAAGCATCACGATACTCAGTCACATATGCAGCCTCCTACAGGACGTCCCAGCCGCGTCACAGATGCATTTACCACCAACCGCCTGCCCCCTGCCTCCTCGACTGCCAGTTGATCCCTCCGCCCGTCCGCGCAGCCTGCCGCGGCGGGGCCCCCATCCTCAAGGACGACGGATGCTTTGCAATTACAGAGGAAGACACAAGTGATTTCAAGTTGTTCTGTCAGCAACCGCACACAAACAGTACAGAGCATGAGGACCTTTCAACTTCTGCAGCAAACTGCGCCCGCACAACCAGTGCCCGCTGCAGATGCCGAGTCCGTCGCGTTCAGGGGGATTCATACAGCCAGCCAATGCTATGAAAGCATAAATCATGAAGCAACAGATGGTGCGGCGAGCACCACCACTCACGACAACAAAGGCGCAGCCCTGCAACAGCACCCGCCCATGCGGTGAGTGCAGGGGGCCGCGGGCGGGCGAAGGGGCAGGGGGCCGCCTGAGTCGGGCAGCCCCCAATGGCGAGAGGTTTGCATAAGATCCCCCGTCACACACAGCGCTTTCGCTGCAAGGGAGAGCTGTTATGTGGCCTCCACACGCCGATTCTGCCCACCAACTGTCTGTGCTCGACGACGGTCATTCCATGGCACGGGGTTTGGGCGAGTAAGGACCGGCAGGCAGCGACGCTATGCAGCTGCGAGGGCAAGGTATGAGCAGCTGCAGCGACGCCACGGCGCCGAGAAGCCTGTGTGGTCCGGCTCGCCACAGGGATGCATCACAAGGAAACCGGGACAAGGGGCCACTTGTACACACACAGAACCCTGCGGCCTGAAATTGTGGCGTACGAGCTCGGCCACGCTTCCTGGGTCGTGCGCGCATGTGCAGCAGCCCGGTAGCTTTCCCCTGCTGGGGGCACGGTCTGGAAAGTTCCCTAGGGTCGCTGCTGATGCACATGAGCCCGGCAGCACGCCCGTGCAAAGGAAGCAAGGCCCGCGGCACAGCGCGGCGTGGGGGCGCAACGGAGACGCGCAGAGTGCAACAATTGCTCGAGTCCCGGAGGTTCCTAATAGGCACGATTTTGGGGGGGGGGGGGCAGGCTGGCCCCCTCTGCTTGATGAAAGTGACGGCGAAGTGCAAATATCAATCACGGAAGGTTTTGAGGGCTGCAGCAGTGAACGCACCATGCAAACAGCAGCGCCGACGCCCCCTGAACGGCGGGCGCCTGGCGCGGGCCTTTCGGCAGCAGGGAGGTAAAGTATGTCGCTGACTAAAGCATATCGACCAGCGGCGGAGGGCCCGCGCTGGACGTTTATACGAGCCCAGTCAGCCGGTAGGACAGGGCGGTCCTCGGCGCCGCGCTGGTCTGGGCTGTGGGCCGCGGGCCGGGGCCGGCCGCAAGCATCGTCTCGCGCGAGCACGGCCATGCCGCAAGCGTCTGCACACGTGAGGAGCGCCGCCCGAGCGGCCGACCAGGTCAGAGCCAGTCCGCGCAGGTGGTTGGCAGTCCGGTGTTTTGGACGCACTGGCGCACGCGGCTGACGTACTCGGTCTCCAGGTGGTCGAATGCTGGGGTGGGCGGGTG